GACGAACTTTGGCGCTTTCTAAGTTTCTGCGTCGAAGCAAATCATCAGCGCCCTTCCAGTGGTCTTTGACAAAGAAGGCTAGAGGAACTAGTCCTATCACCATACCGTAACTGGATCGATAATCCACACAACTACCTCACACAGGTTTTTGATATAAACTCGAATTTGAGCTGAGGTTGAGACTGTTACCAGTATTTCAGAAGAAATAGCAACCACAATTTAAACTGGCATAAGGCATTTTATTTGCTGGTCGCTTCATATTGTTGTGATTGTACATTCAGCGGTACGCATATAAGGAAAAAAGCTTTTTACTGACCGTCTCGATTTGCGTTATTTTAAAATGCGTACCCGTGATAAGGAGTTGCCTGAAAAAGTAGACTGTTGCCATATTATACGGATTTTTAGACGATGGATATCTAATTGAAAAGTACACGAACACGTAAATAAATAATTAGAGTACGAAATGAATTTAATTTTCTTAAGATGGTGAAACGATTAAAAGATGTAGTCGCAAGATACCAGGAAAAACTGCACAAAAAACTGTGTAAAAAAATTTCGAGGCAAATTAAATGTTTCGCAGACCGCGGAGGCAACCACTGCAGTCAAGTGACAGTTTTACGGTCAAAAATTAACATAGGCAAGGTGAGGGAAGGAGGAGTAATGAAGAGAAAAAACTACGAATGAGAAAAAATCAGAAAGCGAAACAGAAAAATATACCAGGAGAAGAAAATGGAAAATTTAAAACAGAAGACGATCAAGAATTAAAAAAGTAGAGAAACATGGGAGCAGTAAGCGATCAACTCAAAGAGGATAATGAGAACGAAGAAAAAAGAAATTGGTAGAGAAAAGTAAGCGCTGGGTGAAACAATGAAAATAAGGAAAATAAAATGAAAAAACTCGAATAAGGAGGAACAGGGAAAGTAAAATATATGGAGACCAATCTTCCATTTTCCATCGCCACTTCTCCTTTCGGGTCGCAAAGGCAGATGCGTCAGACAGAGCTTCCAACGTCCCCGATCCTGTGCCAGATTCTGAGCTTCGGCAGAAGACAAATGGAGTCTTGAACCGACTCCTTCCATATATTTGCACCGGGTTAATCTTGGCTGTCCCCTGGGTCTTCCGCCGGTCAGATTTGCAATACAAAGCTGCTTAGACTTCCTTTCTGGAGGCATTCACAACACATGGCCACATATGGAGAAGAATCAAAAGATAAACGAAGAGAATGAGGAGAGCAGAAGAAAAGACGGTAAAAAATAACAAGAGGAAAACGGATGAGGATGACGAAGGAAAAAGAAAGCGTAAAAGTGGGTGTTTGTGCGATCATCATTCTGAGACGTTTTCATCAGCAGAACGTGTCTGGGTTTTCATAGACGCTGTATTTGTGCTTCAAAACGTCTAGTACGAAGCTCTGGTTACTATATCGTAGAAAGAAATCTTCCTCTCCAAAGGCAGGCATGTCTCTACGTTGTTCTTTGAACTTGCATGACGGCCTCTGGTGGCAGTCGGCCACCTTTCGGCTTCCATACGTGAAGCTCATGCGCTGCCGTTAATGGCTTATACTCAATCAGTTAGTGTAACAGAGGGCCAGTCCCTCATTCATAATCCCGACATCAAGTGACGTCACCTCTATCTGGAACAGGACGGACTCATTCCTCACGGTATCATCTTGTCGTTTGACCTCCGTTGTGCGTGTAGGCCATCGCAGTTCAACAGTCGTTCTTGGTACTTCGCAAAAAATTACTCTGACCTGACTGAAGCAATGTACAGAAGGAGTTATTCGTTTCTCAGACTTAATATTTCACCGGTTGCCAAAATCGAATCACTCAAGGGAAGGGTGGTCCTTTGATTTAACTCTAGCTGGATTATCTCATCGCCAAAAATGATTCAGCTGAAACGCTTGAATTAGCTCACTTCCTCTTTGGCCTCTCCTGTATGTTCTACCAGTAGATAAGCCACATCTGACGGGATCATCATAGCTTTCGACATCATCGTATATATATGGTGAAAATCAAATTTGATTATTTTGTTGATAAGTACAACAGATTCCGTAACGAAACTGTAAAAGTTTTTGAATATGCAACAAACAGACCAACAGCCCTTAGTTGTATACGTTCTTAGGGAAGATGGTGAGAACTACAACGGGACTCAAAAAAAGAAATTGAAATTGAAAATTTCGTTAAGTATACAAGGTGCATTATGCCATGGTCTAAGGACCATTAACAGACGTGATCATTTGTCGTGTTGTGCGTGTGCTCTTGAGGTTTAGTTTTCAATAATTTCGTTCTTCTTGATTATCGT